GATCATGCCCAGTTTAGGAAAAATCGAGAGCTATTATGTTATGGAATTTGTGAAATTGACATTGTTTGTTTATGGGAACCACTTAGCAATAATAAATAATTGTTGTATGATATGTAAACATTAGATTTTAATATTCTTCAATTGAGTATGAGTTATGATTACAGTGTTGAATCTTGTTAAATACGAAATCTTTTTTAAAAACGAAAACCTTGTTAATTAAAAAGGAAAAAGTTTTACCGTATTTTAATTCAACTACTGTGATTGTAACTGCGTTTAATATCATATAGGATGATAACATACCAGATATATATGGGTTGTTCCATATAGCTATAATAATGAATGTAGGACAAAAACATATCAGTTGTTGAACCATTATTACTCCTTCTAACTCTTTATCGCTCATTGATTACACACTTTGATCATTATCATATACTTGAGCTCATCCTTGATTTAAAGATATACAAATAATCAAAACGACGTAGTTTTTTTATCATAAACATTTTACTGAAACACCTTTCATTTTTTATCATATATATAATTGATAATATAATCAGATCGTTAATCTTGTCCATTCTACAATAGTGGTAGTAAGTTTTTGGCCTTTCTATCTTTTTGACCGCTTCTTTTCAATTTTTGGCTTCATTAAAGAAAACGTCCAATTCAATTAGTTTTTGGTATCATAAAGTTAAAGGGTAATACAACTGTCATATTATAGGAAAATAAAAAAATTCTACAGAGAAAAGAATTGATGTGGGGCCTATTAATATTTTTTTTTCTCTCCTTCTATTTGTTTCTCTCTCCCAATTCTTTTCTATGCAAGAACTTTTTTTTTCCCATAACATGACGGAAGTAATTACCCAAAATTAAATGTATGTTAAAGATACTTTCCTTTGGGAACCTTGGGGCTGTGCTAACTAGTAAGTATTATTTCGTTGTATTTATATTTTAAAATTTAAGAAAAAGATGGATGTTATATTTATAATTTATTTTTACCTACCATTTTTTTCCTTTATACTTGGATTAAATTCAAATCAAAGTCTCACTTCATGTTATTTTATAACCGGTGATTTAATTGTGATTCAAGAATAAAGAAAATACCGTCTTTGGGGGTATAAACATTGTATAAATTATCTTAGTTAAAAAAATAATAATATATAACAATAAATTTATCGTAATTCAGATCAAATTTGAATAATTTAAATACTTAAAATAAAAAATTGAACCAGGAAGAAGTTACATTTTCATGAATTAAAATATTAATTTATTCTTTTTGTTATTAGATATTCTTGTTACGTATCAAATATTTTTTTTAGTATTTCAAGAATTTTACATAAAGAAATAAAAAATTTATATAAAGAAAAATATCTTTCAGTAAAAAAAGGCTCACTAAATGCTTACCCAAAAAAAAATAAAAATAAAAAAACTCACTAAAGAAGTCCTAACAATTTAGGAGAAAATAACTGCGGTAACATAGCCTTTAAAAGAAATAGAATAAGTAACTCTACTATAATAATCATCGTTAGTTTTTTATTATACAACGGTAGGAATGAAACACCCAACAAATACAAATTACTCAAATCCCTCACTACTCGACCAATTATAATAACTTTAATCATCATTATCTTTCAATAAAAGGCTTTTGTTGAGCTAAGAATATTGCTACACATGTGTACTACAAATTTAAACATATTTGTGGAATAATAATTAATATAAGTGTGAGGTGATTTATGTACTCGGTACGCCTAATGTTACTGAGATGATGATGTTATATGTAATGCGGGAGTTATCAGAATTGTGGAGAGCAAAATTTTCCACCCCATTAATTTCTTGCTTTTTTTGCTTCGAATTTACCCTTGTAACATATGAAGAAACAAAATAATGAGGACAATACATAGAAAAAAATAATAATAGAGAAGTTGGACGATTAACAGGCTTTCTTTTGTCTACAGTTGTTCAAACTCCTTCTATTTCTACCTCACTCTTAATTTACTCTATAATTTAAATCAATATTTATATATATATTTTAATTTTATTGTAGAAGGATATGTCATTATTTTCCTAGGATACTGCCAATATATGCAATTTTTTTTTTTTTTTTTACTTTGGTGGTTGAGATAAAAAGTTCATTACGAAGCATCAAGTATATCCTTAAAATTAACATAGAATGGATGTTCTCTGGCCACTCCAATGCAGAGTAACATCCATTCTATGAGAATTCTGGAGATTGAAATAGATTATAAGCTTTACAAACCATCTCGTAAACCCTAATAAAACCCATGCGTTTGGGGATAATTGTGCATGAGCCACATTAATATGAACCAAATTTACAAAAAAATGACGATAAAGGAAGACACACTCCTATCGTCAAAAAGAAATAAGCATACATCATTAGGAAGTGTCTGAAAGAATTATCAGCGTGCGATGAGCACACTTGTTCGTTCAGGGGAACTACAGATAACTCCCAGTTGTCATCTTGTCATTTGTTTGGGGTAAGATGGATTGCGGCCTTCAATTCTTCCAATTCCCCCAGTGAGCTATATACAGAGACAGTGTCCAAAACAATGTCGAAAACCCAATCTAAAGTTTCGATATCTCGAATATTACGGGCACTTGATCCAGTGGCCTCATAATCATGTTTTTGTTTTTTCTTCTTCTCAGTTGCACTGCGCCTAGCCATGATCTCCTTAATTTTGGGTGTGATGAAATCTGGTTCAGAAGAGGAGGTATTAGTAGAGCTAGAAGAAGTAGAAGAATAACTAGAAAATGAAGATTTGAAGTTATCAAAATTTCATTTCTTATATGGATATCTAGCAGGGTAAATAACATTTAGTGGAAGTGGACTAGGACTTTTTGCTTGATCTGACTGATCGCGCGCAATAGGAGAAGGAGTATTGCGCGATGAAATTGGAGAAGGGGATTCAGAACCAAGGTCATTAACAGGGCCAGGATAAAACCTAGAATCCGATTTGGAATCACTTGATATGTAAATAGGATTTGCCATCTTATCTACAACTTTTGGAAAAAGGAGATGAACTTTGTTGTGACAAATTTCTGGATACCCCGTGAATAGATTTTCGGGATGAAGAACCAATCTCACAACATCGATGACCAGATGAACAACTATTATTGAATTTAACTTTCTCCCAGGGTGCAACACCCTTTCTCGTTAGCCACTATTTACAAATTTGCGATTATCGATCGTACTTTAAGTTCGATGAAGTAAAGAAGCAACAATGAAACAGAACAGTAGAATAAAAAGGTAGAAGCATACCTGAGTTTTATACTTCGACAGTGGAGTAGACACCAGGACGTGTCAACACTCAGAAAGATCACCAGAGAAGAATACTGGAGAAGAAAGCCCTATTTAGACATAAGTTGGTATTTAGAATGAATTTCCCTCCAATTAAGTAGCTCGGTACAAATATGAAAAGTCACCACGCAGAAATTGAAATGGTTAAAACGTGTTGACATATGCTGATGGGAAGGGGGCACATGGGGAGAAGGTAAACCATTTAAAGCTTAAAACGTCCCATGATTGTTATTAAAACACCCACGTAATTACGGTGGCATTTAATGCTTCTGATAGTTAAACATCTAATCAACCATTTTAAACAGCGATGTAATGATGATCCTTCGTCATGTTATACGCGATACTAATTGAATGCGCCAAAGACATACCGCACGAAGAGAATATATATCACAACTTTGTAAATATCAAAGTTGTTAGCTAGGGGGAAACTGATCTGAATAAAATACAATAGGTCCACCAAAGGGTTAAAACCCAAAGATTAAAAGCTCAAAGACATAAGGTCCGAACAATGCGCGATATCCACTTCGCGCATCAGTGAGCGGGATGGATTCATCGCGCCCAAACCGCCTTAAACACGACTTCAGAGTTAAGGAAGTGATCAATAATACGATCAAAGAGCCACCTCGCCATAGAACCAATATACGAAAGAGAGCTCCAGCTTGACACCACTCTACCCAGATAGCTTGACATAATAGAGATAAGGCCAGGAAGACACCAGCTGAACCTGCTCCCATAAGCAGCCAGTCAGAAGGCATACCGCCAACCAAAGGTGGCATCAGATCCTCTATATAAACAAAGGGTACATACCCAGGTATGACAGTCTAATTCAGTTAGAATACCTCATAAGCCTGACTTTGATACTGACTTGAGCGTCAGAGTGTCATTGCAGGTACCCGCCCCAGTCAAGCTCATCGCGCCAAAGAAGAATCATATTCATCTCACTACAAACATCCAACAACAACCCAAGAAGCAGATAACCCAACCCAAAATCTTCTCACATCAATTGTGTGTGATTGGGCTCGACACATATTGGCCACCCCATACTGTGTTGGTCCGATCAGAATGTAAATCTTCATCAACTTAAATCAAATCTTGAGTGATTTTATTTCAAAAGTGATTTTATTTTATTATCTAAATAAAATTAATTATCTAAACTCATTTTTATAATATTATTTTTAAACACGGTTTATTTATTATTAATACTGATTCTTTTAGAACTAATTTTACTAAAGTTAAAAACAAAAGTATTGTTTTGTCTTTTCCGAAAGTTGCTTCTTGTCCAATGGCTAAGACAAAAAAAAGAAAGAAAGAAAAAAGTAAGATGATGTGACTAGACTACATTGAGGCGCCAGGAGCTAACTTTGGTTTCTTACTGGACAAGAAAGACATTTCATAACATTGACTTTTTTAACGAAAATGCATCAAATGGATTTTCGGTGGCCACTCCAATGCAGAGTCCTACTAATAAGTTGGGGGCGTTGACGTGAAAATTGTTTTCCTTTTGAAGCGGAAACCTTGGTGCTTTTGCTAACTACTTTTTAAGCATAGATCTATCTCATCGTAATATTTGTGTTCTAGAGGGCTCATACGAGAACACTACACTGTTACTAATATTATTTTTATCACATAAGGTTGCTCGAATACGCAAACTTGACAAGCAAATATTCCATTTTGAATGCGTTTATTGTGAATGCTATTTCCTAGATCATTACTTGCATTCTTTTTGGTGAAAACTTGGGTTTAGGAGAAGACAAATTACCAGAAGTCATTACTTACATCCTTTCTAAGATTTCATATCTATTCCCTTTCTCTCTATTCTATCTATCTAAGATGCTCTGACTCTGATATATGATTAGGTGGTCTAAAGAGACGTGGAAAGAGTTGCCAACATTAAAAGCAAGGAGAATTCTCAGATGAGGAAGACAGAATAATTTGCAGCCTTTATGCTAATATTGGAAGCAGGTACTAGTTTATTACTTCCATTTTTATGCAACACTATAGATATATATATATATATAGTTAGACCCACTAGCAGTAGCACATAAACAATTTTTTTTGCTCTTTCTGACTAACAATCAAATCTGATATTAACTATCCAGATGATATATGGCCATTCATGGATGTTACTTTTTTTCCTCCAATCATCAACTACATATATGCTGTAGTGAAATGTTTATGAAGTCTATCCATCTATCTAAAGGAGTAAAAAGCCAAGGGAAGGAGGAAAATAAAAGCACTATAACTAGGGATTTTACCATTTTAAGAACCCTGTAGTTATCTAGAATCTGCCTATTTTATATCTAGCTAGCAACAGCATTCACTTACTAATGTCTGTTCAATGAAGACATGGATTTTATTTATTTATTTTTTTCCATCATTGGCTTTTCATGTTATTGCAGGTGGTCAATTATAGAAGCTCAGTTACCTGGCAGGACTGACAATGATATCAAGAACTATTGGAACACCAAGCTAAAGAAGAAGTTGATGGGGTTGCTTCCTGAATCTCACCAAAGAAAACCACCCTACCATCAATCCTCTCCTCAAAACCCACCACCATTTCCTTCTCATTCACTTTCCTCATCAATTTATGGAGATTATTGCAACTCTTATTATAGCCCAGCAGCAACCACATCTTTCACAGGCCTTGAACCTATTTCTGTTCCTTCAAGTACTTACACAAACACAAGCTGCACAACAACCTCAATTTCTCTCCCCTTTAACCAAAACCAAGAGTCCTTGGTTAGTGTTAGTCCCATGCAATATTACCCTATCACAACAGTGTTTGGAAGTGAAGGAAGTTGCAGTTCCTCTGATGGAAGCTGTAGTCAGGTTAGCCATGGCAGGGAAATCAAACAAGAAGAAATGGGGTTTCAGAATTTCATGTCCAACGGGTTTATGCCTAGTCACATAAGCATTAACAATAATGGAGATGAATATATTAACCAATGGGAAGAAAATCCAAATGGGTGTTTTTTCCAAAAGCAAACCCAATTGGGTTATGATATTGATGTTATTAAGCAACTAATTAGTAGCAATGGAAGCAGTAATGACCTAGGAAATTACATTCACTTATTATTAGAATAAGTGAAAGCTACAAGCAACGTCCAATGAAAAATTACCAGAAGACAAAACAAATGAAGACCTGTCACTCTACAAAATACTATTAATCTGGCATTCCTCTCTGTTCAATGAGGTCTCTTCAGCAAATTCCGTGGTATATATGCTATCACAAAAAATCAAAGTCCCAATCTCCATTGAAAGTTGAGTTTATTGGACTATGCTCTTCTGAATCAACAACACCATTCAAGGGAATCTGGGAGTCTATTGAGCTACAGATAACATCTGAAGGGTTAGTGTCATTCTGATTTTGGTGATCCCTTCCTTGAAAATTTGTTTCCCCAGAAGTATTTGGAATGCTACTCTGATTCCCCCATTGCAAGGATTCAACTTGTTGGGTTGACTTAGAGCTAATCCTTTTCAGACGAAGTCTATATCTCTGCAACAATTGCAAAAACCAATAAGGTTTAATTTCTTAATGAAAAAACTTTGGTTTTATTAAACTAAAGCAGTAGTAAGGATGAGAATAAAAAACCTGGAGATGGCTGGCCACATTCTCCCTAGTAAGTTGCTTCTCAACATTCATCAATTCAAGAATTTTTCTAGGTACTGCCTCTGCAACCAAAATAAACCAATTTAGTAATGGAACAGTACTCAAGACACTGCATAAAGCATATGTAATGATAATTAATGCATGATATTTATTCCAGCGGCACTTATAATATAAGGAAGGGTATTTGAACAAGTATTCAAAATAATGTTGTACAGAAAAGTATTGCGAAAATAAAAAGAAAACATCAATTGATTAAGCTGTTATAGCATTGTAGAGAGAGAATGAACAACTTACTGTCAACCCCTAGCTTAATAACAGCAGCAACAAAACTATGATGAAGCTCTTCGGTCCAAATAACTCGAGACTTCTTCTGGGTTGATGTTGATGTTGAGGGATCCATTTTGTTATGACGTATCTTGGGCTCCTCATAGTCATTGTGGTAATCTTTATCATGCTTCTTTGGGACAATATTCTTCCTCCTAAGTACATGCTGCCATATGTTTTGCAGCTCCTCGATTCTAAGAGGTTTTGCCAAAAAAGCACAAGCTCCAAGTTTGATTCCTTTCATGACTATCTTTCGGTCATTATCTTCAGACGACACTGAAATACAAAATTTATAATGTTAAAGGTTCATCAAACAAGTAAATGAAGTCCCAATATCAAATAATATATTAATGGGGTGGATAAATTGAAAAAAATAAAATAAAATATTGAAGATTACATATAAGCTCATCACATACATATGACAGGTTGGTCCATCAAATTCCAACGTTGCATGAGTTCAAGCAACTTAAATCCATCCATTTCTGACATATGGACATCGGTGATTATCAGGTCAAACTTGCTTTTCTTTTCTTTCAACAACTTCAGTGCTGATATTGCATCTGTTTTCACGGTTACTGCACAAATGGGTTCCAAGTTAAATGCAGTCATCATCGATCAACATTTTCAAGAAAATAAAAAAGAAAACAAGTAACATACCATCATATTGACACCGTCTGAGCAAAGTCTGCAAAGTGAAGAGGCTCAATGGGTCATCATCAATAGCAAGAACACGCATTCCTAGTGGAAACTCGTTTCCAATTTCATCAGTGTCATGATCCTTCACCACAGCCATTGCCAGAGTATCTAATCATAAAAATATATGTCAGTGCAAACAGATGAGTTAAGCACAGCATTGATCTATTGCCAATTTACAAATTAAAAAAAAAAAAAAAAAAAAAAAGCACAACTTTTAACATCTCAACACCAATCATTACTCAGATTCAACACAGACCCAACATAGATACCATTAAGAAAAAACCCAATTAGCCATTTTACCCACATGGGTATGTTAAAAATCATACATCTTTAACGAAATCATGGGTCCTGAACATGCAAGAACAGGGACATAGGAAGAAGGGACAAGAACAGGGTTTGTGAAAACGCAAACAAAGAAAGAGAAGAGGCACAGAGAAGATGTTGACTTACCTTTCTTTTCTCTTTTGATACGAGGAACGAGGAACGAAGAACACGGACAATAGCCAATTCAAAATTTTGCGGGAAACTCCGAACGAGAACAAGAAGAAACCTTTCTTGATTGTTAGTTACTCAGTCTCACTGTCTCACACACTGTCTTGAACTTCATTGGTTGTTATTACATATATATAGCATTTAATTCAATACCGTATCTCGGTTAATTATAAATATAATATTTTTTTTCAATACCGTTGGTGGGTTAATTCAAACTCCGATTTCTTCTCTCCGCGAAATTCAAAAAACATTTCTTGATTTTCTTGAATAAATATAATATTTAATTTAGCTACTAATAAAATTAATTATAATTACTTATTCATATTAGTTTCAAATTTATTAAAGATTTTTTTTAATAAAAATTGACACTAAATTAAGAATTTTATAGTAATATTAATTAAACTCTTAGCTTCATGTAATGGAAATAATTACTATTAAAGACGTTAGATTAATACCTTTTTTTTCCTCTTGTGTGCTTAGGATTAAAAAGTTGACTAAATACTAAGCAAATATGAGAAGAAAAAAAAGGTTGACGTAATAAATTGTGAACAGCTTTTGAAGAAGATTAAAAGAAGAAACTTGCTATATTTAACTATAATTTGTTAAGTATGGATAGTATGACACTCAATCTGTATAACTTATTATTCGACATAATTTTTATTTTATGATATGTCTTCCCCTTTTTCCCTTACTTAATTGGAAAAATTTATTTTCTTTTCAAGTATATAAAGTAACTTCTCCTTTGAGGCATATAGGAATTTCCATTTGTCATATGTTATATAAGAATTATTTCCCCTCCCTTTGGACTATCTTTTATCCAAATACATGTCTTGGACCCACTTAACGGTCCATAAGTTCTATTAGATTTGTGCTTTATTTAATAAGGAGTTTGAATACTACTCAAACACTTTCACCTTCACGTAAACCTTCTTTATAAATAATTGGTTCAACTACAAAGGTACACACTTCTAAAACTCTTACCTCCTTTACTACTATTGCCCACACGCACCACCCCACTTAAGCTTCTCGTCTAGATCAATTGCTTGTGCACAAAGATATATCATCATTCGCGAATATCTTCTCCATAGATACCGTTGATACAATTATGCGATATTAATCACAATCCTATCGAATTGAATATTGACACAATTTGTGGGAATCAGTAAATTTGGATTCTCATCCAATAATGGTAAACACCTGCAATGCAGCGCACAACCACTCGCCATTGTAGCAAAATGCATCTTAATAACAGGAACAACAAAATTTGCAACCATTATTCCCACTATCAATGCAAAAGGGGCAAATCACATGGATGTTGCTGAAGGAAATATCACATTTGTCTCTGCCCAGCTAGCCTAACCCACTCCTCCATTGTTGCACACTAACTTGATCCTATCCAAGCTGCAGGGGCATTACTGAGGCAACATTTGGATGACATTTAATGCCACCTTAGTGAGCACCAGAGTGAAAATATGGGGCAACAAGGTAAGACACAACTATAGTCTTTGCCTTCTTACTCAGTGAACTAACCTTGGATTGGTTCAACACCCTGCCACTGCACTCCATCAACTCATTCAAGGATCTCTCCCATAAATTCTTACTCAGCTTTACAACTAGCAAAATACATCTGAAGTCATCTCATACTCTGTCTTAAATCTATGAAGAGAAGGCGAGCCCCTTTATGTTTATCTGAACTAATTCAATGCAGGAGCAATATATACATGTCCATAACTTGGATGAAAATGTGCACTTGCACCTCCTTGTTGTAATTTTCAACTTGCTTCATATATACAATTACGCAGTCTCTTAAAATATATCAATTGGGAACCAATCCACACAATCCACACAAACAAGAGCATCAAATCAAATCAACAATTAAGCACACGCTGGCACACCTCTACAAGAAATCGGGTGACAAAAAGTAAAAATAAAATATATTTATTAATTAATACACCAAAATTCCAAGTCTGCTTCAAATTCAAGTTGTTATTCTTTCTTTGTATGTATATATACCACACAAAGTCCAAACTTCCTATCCCTCCCTCCTTCCTTCTCTTTTTCCTTTTATTTTTCTCCCTTAAATCTCTCTCCTAGAAGATCTGTTTTCCTTTTCTGGGAAAAAATTTAAATACAACGGATATACTGAATTCGGTATATCCGTTTATTAATTGGGGAAAAAATATGGGATATAAAGGAAAATAAAAAAAAAGTAAGGTTAAAAGAGAAAAAATTACTCTTTTTAGTAAAGGAGAGGTATATCAGATATACCGAAAGCTTGCTCCCTTTTATTGGGGTTTTGGTTGGTGGGCCTATAGATTCTAAGGTTTATCACTCCCCACCATGGCACCGGATGATCAAGCAATCCACCATCAATTTCACACAATCCATATAAAATATATTCAATGACACAATTCCCTTCCAAAAAAAAAAAAGACACAACTTTTAACATCTCAACACCAATCATTACTCAGACTCAGCACAGACCCAACATAATAGATACCATTAAGAAAAAACCCAATTAGCCATTTTACCCACATGGGTATGTTAAAAATCATACATCTTTAGCGAAATCATGGGTACTGAAAATGCAAGAACAGGGACATAGGAAGAAGGGACAAGAACAGGGTTTGTGAAAACGCAAACAAAGAAAGAGAAGAGGCACAGAGAAGATGTTGACTTACCTTTCTTTTCTCTTTTGATACGAGGAACGAGGAACGAAGAACAAGGACAATAGCCAATTCAAAATTTTGCGGGAAACTCCGAACAAGAACAAGAAGAAACCTTTCTTGATTGTTAGTTACTCAGTCTCACTGTCTCACACACTGTCTTGAACTTCATTGGTTGTTATTACATATATATAGCATTTAATTCAATACCGTATCTCGGTTAATTATAAATATAATATTTTTTTTCAATACCGTCGGTGGGTTAATTCAAACTCCGATTTCTTCTCTCCGCGAAATTCAAAAAAAAATTCTTGATTTTCTTGAATAAATATAATATTTAATTTAGCTACTAATAAAATTAATATAATTACTTATTCATATTAGTTTCAAATTTATTAAAGATTTTTTTTTAATAAAGATTGACACTAAATTAAGAAATTTATAGTAATATTTATTAAACTCTTAGCTTCATGTAATGGAAATAATTACTATTAAAGATGTTAGATTAATACCTTTTTTTTTTCTCTCGTGTGCTTAGGATTAAAAAGTTGACTAAATACTAAGCAAATATGAGAAGAAGAAAAAAAAGGTTGACGTAATAAATTGTGAACAGCTTTTGAAGAAGATTAAAAGAAGAAACTTGCTATATTTAACTATAATTTGTTAAGTATGGATAGTATGACACTCAATCTGTATAACTTATTATTCGACATAATTTTTATTTTATGATATGTCTTCTCCTTTTTCCCTTACTTAATTGGGAAAATTTATTTTCTTTTCAAGTATATAAAGTAACTACTCCTTTGAGGCATATAATGATTTCCATTTGTCATATGTTATATAAGAATTATTTCCCCTCCCTTTGGACTATCTTTTATTCAAATACATGTCTTGGACCCACTTAACGGTCCATAAGTTCTATTAGATTTGTGCTTTATTTAATAAGGAGTTTGAATACTACTCAAACACTTTCACCTTCACGTAAACCTTCTTTATAAATAATTGGTTCAACTACAAAGGTACACACTTCTAAAACTCTTACCTCCTTTACTACTATTGCCCACACGCACCACCCCACTTAAGCTTCTCGCCTAGATCAATTGCTTATGCACAAAGATATATCATCATTCGCGAATATCTTCTCCATAGATACCGTTGATACAATTATGCGATATTAATCATAATCCTATCGAATTGAATATTGACACAATTTGTGGGAATCAGTAAATTTGGATTCTCATCCAATAATGGTAAACACCTGCAATGTAGCGCACAACCACTCGCCATTGTAGCAAAATGCATCTTAATAACAGGAACAACAAAATTTGCAACCATTATTCCCACTATCAATGCAAAAGGGGCAAATCACATGGATGTTGGTGAAGGAAATATCACATTTGTCTCTGCCTAACTAGCCTAACCCACTCCCTCATTGTTGCACACTGACTTGATCCTATCCAAGCTGAAGGGGCATTATTGGTGCAACATTTGGATGACATTTAATGCCACATTAGTGAGCACCAGAGTGAAAATATGGGGCAACAAGGTAAGACACAACTATAGTCTTTGCCTTCTTACTGAGTGAACTAACCTTGGATTGGTTTAACAATCTACCACGACACTCCATCAACACATTTAAGGATCTCTCTTATAAATTCTTACTCAGCTTTACAACTAGCAAAATACATCTGAAGTCATCTCATACTTTGTCTTAAATCTATGAAGAGAAGGTGAGCCCCTTTATGTTTATCTGAACTAATTCAATGCAGGAGCGATATATACAGGTCCACAACTTGGATGAAAATGTGCACTTGCACCTCCTTGTTGCCTGTCTTCAATGTGGGTCGTTCTCCAAGTCTCTGCATAAGACTGTGGTCAACAATCTAGTCGAGTTGAAGGTTCAAATCCTCCAAGTATGTTGATGTGCATGAAAATGAAA